AAAAGGCGCCGGCGGGGGCGGAGCGCCGTCTCGAGACGCGGCACGAGCGCCGCGTTGACAAAAACTGTCAAAAAGCCGCTGTGTTGAAGGGTATGCTGCTCGGCGTGAGGATCATTGTCGGCGCTGTTGCGCTCACGAGGCGCGAGACGTCCCATGCTACCAGGCGCCGGAGGTAGACTTCCTCTTTGGCCGTGAGGACACGCACGACCGAGGCGCCTTTTGGGAACTCGAGCAGCCGCATGGCCTCCTTGTAAAGGCTTCGCACGGGTCTGCGCTCCTCGGCGGCGCGCGACGACGCGACCGGACTGGGCTGCATGGTGCCGAGCGCTCGTTCGGCTGGCTGGGATCTTTCGAATGCGGCGGATTCGGCAGAATAGTTTTAAACCATTTTTTATGCACAGAGGTTTTATACACTGAGGTACGACCACGGTGTTTAGTCTCTCTTGCATTTCCTGCGAGCACAGTGTTGTGGGATTGCAGAAAAATGGAAAGAGAAGACTACTGTAGCGCTCGATGATGCTTCTCAGAAGACTACGGCGACGGCAGCCGCCACGAAGGTCCTTGTATCAAACACTACGATGCGGCTTGATATTTCAAACATATGTAGAAAACACTTTAAGATTCGGCACCGTATGCCACCAATGCCGAATCCAAGTCGGGAACAGCACCACCAGGGTACCAAGGGAACGGGTGCACCGCCAACCAGGCATTAAGTTTTGTTGAACAATTTACGCATCCGGTTGCCCTGGGCATGACGTCGGCGTCAGGTTGCCGCTGGGATACACTTTGGCCCTCTTGAATTCCTTCTTTGGTAGTACAGTCTATCGATAATATGCACCCGATGACGGGAAGAGCATTTCCGTCATCCAGTGCTCCGAGCTCCAACAAGTTTCTTAGGTCAAAAGCCTGCGCTAATCGACGTCTTGAACGCACCAGGGTCCATGTCCCAAGCAGCGCAAGCTTTCGTTGCCGGTCCGCAAAACCTATAGCGTGAGACCACCGTGCTTGACGAGTATGCAACCGAGTTGCGCAGGCACGAGCTATGGGCTCACTGCAGCGACGCAGGTTAAGCGGCCACAAGCCATACGAGTGCGGTACACAAGCCTGACACACACGAAGCGGTCAGCGGACGCCGCGACCCGAGATGGTGTCCACTTTGCACAAGTGGTACATATGTACCAGTACATGTACTACATGGTAGTACACCGGTTGAAAAGCTCTACTAACGTTAGCACAATGTTAACTGAGTTATATTACATGCAATTATAAAGATATGGTGGACTTCGCAATGCGCTCGTGAGGCCTGGCCGGTGCGTCAGCGAGAAGCGTTAGTGGTCGTGGTTCGAGAATGTGCGAGGGACCAGGTAGCGTGCACACCAAGGGTCGTCGCGGAGAGCGACCAGCGACGCGTCAAGCGATGGCACCACAGCGCGACGAGCCAAGTGCCGGATGTGCAGTCTTGCGATAGTGGCTGCCCGCATCGCGAGCGCGGCAGCGGGAAGTTGCCTCAGCGTCGTGCGAAATAGCTCTACAGTGTTAGCGTGCATTGGGCTCACTCAGCGTGCGCGCATTTCCCACTCTTCAAGCCAATCTACTCAACATGTAAAAAAGACGTGGCGTGGAGCACTGTTTGCAAGTGCCACCACATCTGGTACTTGTTTTTCTGGCGGAAGATTCGATTGCAGACGTTTGAAAATCTGGTGTGGTCCACACGCGAATCTTGCCGTTTCATGCAACATCTGTCCCACGTCTGGTTTCGGAACAGATGCCATGCGACATGGAGGTCCCCAGCCGCACGACGGACGACCGACAGGCGCCAAAACCCTCGCGACGGAGCTGCTCACTTTTCAACTTGCTCGACATCGCGCACCATGCAGCTTCTTCTCAGCCTCGCTGGCCTCGCTCTCGTTGGCGCCGCCAAGGTCTCGCAGGTC